TGAATGCTTTTTAACTACAGGAAGGATTTTTTTCTTGCATATTATGATTTTTTTTTTGTTTAAATTGCAGCATTAAGTTAAAACTCACAAGTCAAAATTAATTAACTTAAAAANCCATGTNTAGANAACTTGCCTCTTGTTAAATCAACTTCATGAACTTTAATTTCTGAGTTAAAAGCAAAACAATGTTCTTGTTGACTTCAATTGCTTTTTCAAGGCAGTAGGTGGACTTTCAAATGTTATTGTAGATGGTGATGTTTTACACCTTCAAATGTTTTACAGTGTGGAAAACACTATCCCTTAATAAAATAATGCTCCCACATCGTCTTACTAACACTGTGGAATGCAAACACACTATAAATGAAAAGCTGACAGACTTTTGGACATGATAAATAGCCTCTAGACTTGATATTATTTATCAAGTCTGGAGGACCACAAAGCACTTCACACTACATTCACACAGTGATGGTAGTGAGCAACTGGACAGTAGCCACAGGTGCAGTCTGACAGAGGCAGGGCTCAGAGCACCAGAGCCACTGGTGCTGAAAAGTTCTGCTTCACAAAGACTTGAGTATAGCTGGGTCAACACCACTGCAAGTCAAACATCACATCTGTGAGCCACAAACAGTAAATTGCCTAATACAGACACCAAGGGGAGATGAACTCTTCAAAGTGAAACTTTATACATGTTTGTTTCCTGTTAGATTAATTTGTCTAATAATCAAACCTTCTATGGGGACTGATGGTCAGAATCTGCATAGCTCTGTGCTATGCTAGTTGCAGCACAGCACAGAGCAAGGGGGAGTCACATGACATTGTGATTGACAGCGCTAAAACCTAAAACCCGCCTCCTGCCTCTGATTGGTTGTTTCTAGATAGCACTGGGAGAAGGCAGAGGAAATAATTTTTTCACAAATTATCTCTCATGTCATACTGCCACAACACAATGGCAGTTTCAACAAATATGTAAAAAATTTTTTTTTATAAAAGTTACATAATGCAGCTATAATTTCTCTTAGGAGAGGACGGGTCAGGAGGGACGTGGCAACAGATATCTGTAATTTAAACACAAGCCAAGGTGAAACTGTGTGGACTGGCTGCAGTCCAGACAGGAGGCTGTTTTTTTTATAATTTTATAAAGATTGTTTGAATTTCTGTTAGCAACAAATATATTGTTTTTGTTGTGTAATTGTAAAAAGAGCAAAGACATAGAGAAATCCATACAGATTCCCTGGAATGATGCTAACTAGGTTGTCATTGGATACAGAGTTGCCCACTTTTTTCACTGGGACGGGGGTAAAGGTTTATGTTGATATCAGGGATTAGAGCTGCTGCTGACTGACTCACCTGTTGTCAAGTGTGGTAAAAGGTACAAGGAGCAAGTTAGATATATGAATATCTTGGTATTTCTTTTCCTTAATCCATTAAATGCTATGGAGGCAAACAGTAGTCTGTAGCTAAACTAACTATGCTAAATGGTTGATAATCTCACACAGTCTATTCACCTCTCTTGGAGAAAAACTGTGTTACAAATAGACACTCTTGTCTTTTTCTCTCTCTTATATCTATGTTTTTGAAAACTTGACTATTATTTTTCCAGGCAGCATAGTAACTGCCACAGTCGTGCTTGACTTAGGCCCTGTTTACATGACAACAATTTCGGGTGAGAACGGAATAGTTTTGTTCCGTTTGTAATGTAAATGAAACCACCGAACGTTTTCTCTGACAACTGCACAGTTTGAAAACGGGTACCAGAGTGCGATGTTTCTGAAACATATCGGTGTCCGTTGTCTTGTAAACAGAATAAATAAGATATTCCTTTATTAATCCCGCAGTGGGGAAATTTGCATTGTTACAGCAGTATAAAAAGCAAAACCAATATGAAAAACTATATATACACAGTAAAATCAAGTGAATATAGAAATACTAAAAAACAGTATTATTCAAAATATAAATAAATAAACAATTTCCAGGTTTACTACTTAGAGCAGTGGGTATTGTACAGTCTGACGGCGGCTGGAAAATGGATCTTTTCTGTCAGGGAATCCCCCGCTCATGCATAGTATGATGCAAAACAGCTGCTTCCTACAATCCACAGAAGAATAAACTACTGACAATGCTGGTGTTACTACAATTCATGTTTCCCCATCAGATATGGTTCCCTCAGCGTCTCTTCACTGCTCCGCACAGCCCAGGTGGCAAAATACGCATACATGTTCAGCGCTCATAACAAGCAGTCCGGACACCGTGAAAGCTCAAACAACGTGTTTCAGCAAAGTGATCCCACTTTTTTCCAACTGCGCCCTAATCAAATGCACATAGTGCGTGTTTTCCCCCAATATCTGGGGGAACGGTACCTGATGGGGAAACACGAATAGATGTGCTTTCAAGTAGAACTTTTTGGTAACACTTTATTTGAAGGGGGGTGAATAAGACTGACATGACACTGTCATAAACATGACATAACACCTGTCGTGAACATGACAGGTGTTGTCATAAATATGTCATGAATATTTATGACAACAGTCATAAATATTCATGAAGGCTTATTCATGTTCATGACAGGTGTTATGTCATGTTTATGACAGTGTCATGTCAGTCTTATTCACCCCCCTTCAAATAAAGTGTTACCAACTTTTTTTTAAAAACACATGCGCACCTAGTTTCAAAGAACCTAGCACCAACTAGTGACGTGGCGAGAGCATTACACCTTTTCGATGTGTACCGTTACTGTGTAAACAAAGATTGTAATTAGAACGTCTTCATGTATACTGACTGCTGCTGAAAACGTCACCGTCCAGCACGCTAAGCAGGAACAAACCACTTAATGCAGATACGGGGGTTCAGGGATGTGTGCTTTTTTGGTCTGGGAGGGGTAACATTTAATTTTTACTGCTAAAACCAATTTTAAAAAACACAATAACCGTAATTGACAGGGCCCCGATTCTTTTTATATTTGTTGTAAAAAAAAAAATAAATAAATAAATAAAAAATTGTGTGTGGGGGGGCTGTGGTCAAGGACCCTTGGAATTGTCATCGCTTTCCCCCCCTATACCATGCCCCTTATGGTGACTTCACAATCTGTTTACAAGTAAAGAAAATGCTGTTTAGCGTCACCAGAAGAAGGTGTGTGTACTTCATTTTCATCCATAAAAATGGGGAACTTCATTCATATTGCACACAACTCATCTGACATCTGAATGGATTTTAGAGATCACTCAGAGTGGCAAAAAAATCCCAGTCACAGTTTTACAGCAACATGAGCTGAACAATGGATTTGGCCTGCCAGTCACACCATACAGCCTAATACGTTGCTTCTGAACAGGCAGGAGCGTCGTTCTTCTGTAGACCCAAATTTTGTGGCATTTTATTATATACATATTTTTTTAGGATAAAAGGGTACAATTAAAATATTTATCCAGTTTACAGTGTGGACATGCATGTTTTAACAAACCCTTACAGATCATGCCACAACCTGCAGAAAGCACTGACATCTTGTCAAACAATCTAGTTTTATTGAATAAAGTCTTCACTTGCTTGTAAGAGCAGAAATGTCAAATAGAACAAGAGAAAACAAACAGAGCTGTGAAGGAACTAGTGCAAGGAGAAATGTTCCAGCAGCAGCAGAGGAAACATCCAATTTGACTAGGTAATAACTAGCACACCCAATTCATACAACCAGGTACACAACTGTATTAATACAAACAATGCTTCCAAGGAAAATAAATAAAAAAGCTTGTTTGTTGTCTGTTTCCAGCTCTTAGCTGTATGAAAATGCAATAGTTTATCACCAGAAACCCTGACACAAATGTCTAACCTGACAGAAATAATATTTTTCCCTATTTGGAAAAGCTGTTATAAACTATGTTATTTTTATTATCAATTTGACAAAACAACTATGAAAATGGGGCTGCACAGTGGCGCAGTTGGCACTGTTTCCTTGCTGTAGGCAGGTTCTGGGTTCAATTCCCGGCCTGGGGTCTTTCTGCATGGAGGTAGCATGTTCTTCCTGTGCATCCATAGGTTCTCTCCAGGTACTCTTGCTTCCTCCCACAGTCCAGAAACATGAGTGTCAGGTTGATTGTTCTCTCTAAATGGACTAGTGAAAAACCAGCCCCTTGTTCTACACTTTGCTTCACAGAGCCTCAGCTCTTAGCTATTAAAAATTGATTTCTTCCTGGAGGCTTGGAGTCTGTTGAAGCTCTAAATTTTACTGAGTTGATAAAGTTTGGCCATGAAATATGTAATGCACCTGGTTGACACTATGAAGCTGACCAGAAATGGCCTGCATTGCAAACAACTGTCCTCCAATATGTAAAAAGGACCAGATAGCTTGTATTGTTAATTGAAAATTTAGAAGCGTGGCCAACATGGACTGAACAGCTTCCTTCACTTCCTCCGCTGTCTTTGCTAAAACTACAGGCAGACTCCAATTCTATAACAGCACAGAAAATCAACATCATCATTCAAACTTCTCCTTCTGTTTGCTGATTGGCCCCGTTGAAAATTCTAACAGAGAAAAACAAGTAAATGGGAGAAAGCCTGAACTGTCTGTGAGGAGAGATTTGAATCGACCGGAAGAGTGTAAAAAGGCAATAGGCAGGCCAGCATCAGACTAACTGTGCTTGAATATGACATTGAACTTTACTCTTAGTCTATTGTAAACTGCATGAGTTAAAGAAACCTGTGGTAGGTTTATCCTGTAATGGGTCTAAATCTCTGCTGTGATATGAGATGTAAGATAAAGACATTGTAAAGTCAGCTATGTATTATCAGTCAGAATGGGACCAGTTATAACAACAAAACTAAGCCGGAGAGAACATGGTCGACTGTTATGAAAATAACTGATCTCAGTAAACTCCATCTGTGAGCCGTAAACACTATCCACATGTCAAAGAAGCAGACAAACATCCTGGTGAAGTCATGAAATAATTATAGCTGATCATTTCAGTTTTCTTCACTAGCAGGGGGATTGCATGTGTGTGTGTGTGTGCTGTTACCTTTGCAGCAACAGAGGAACTGGGTTTCTCCAGAAGATCCCAAAGTTTTTGTCTTTGGTCAGGACAACAGCCCTGCTCATCAACGTCTCCATCCTTATCTCTCAGCGTCTCAGCCTCCCTTCTTAGCTCCTCATTCATCTGCTCCTTCTTTTGGTGGTACCGTGCCTGGCAACAGGACTCCAGGTAGATCTCATCAATTCCCCAGTAGTCTAGCTCCTGACCAAAGGACAAAGCGCACATCTCCTCCATCATGTGCAGCTTCCCTGTTCTGTAGAAGTTGAGTATGGAGGAGAAAGCCATTGGATGTCTGTCAAAGAAATATTCATTCTCATGGAGACTGTAGTCATCACAAATCTCCAGCAGTGACTCATGGGTGTTGCAGTCTCTTAATCGACCCAGACGGGTTCGAGGCAGGCGATCCAGTGTTCTCCACAGCACTTCATGACTGAGACCACCTACATTGAGGCGGACTCGCCGAGAGCGAGCTTTGGTGCGAATTATATCAATTGGCTCAGGTGGAAGCACAGGAGCTGTGGCCGGCCGGGGGGTGACTTTGGAGGCGTTGAAACTCACTCTGTCCGTCATGCTGAGACGGCTGGTTCTGTTCCTTCCTGTGAATGTGAGTCAACTCTAATGGAGCTCGTTTTGAGGCCTCACTGTTTCCAAGGGGTGAGAGTGTTGGCTGGTTAGATAAGACCAACCGAGCTCACTTCTCCGTGTTCAGGCCGTTCCTCTCCTGATGAGATCCATGTCTGGAGAACAAAACAACACATGTGACAGAGGTTGGACCAGACATTTTAAACTCTTCTCACTTAAGAAAGAGACTGTTCTCTGTTGAATCTAAAGAAAAATATGAAAGCGACCAAACATTGCTTTTGATATCACCCAGTACATTTCAGTATAGAGATACTGAGAGCTCCAGCTGATTGTTATTTTATTGTTTTTATTGTAACAAGATATGTTACTAACTTTCAGCACTGTTCCATGTTTCCTCCATATATAGATAATTGATTCTGGCTTTGGAACTGATAGATGTTAGACTAGCTTCAGCATTCAAACTGCATGTGGTCTGGATAACCATCTCCTGCTTCTAGACTATGTGCGCTGCATAATCTTTACAATGAGCTCACAGGGTAGTTCATGAAAATCCTCCATGACATGGGCCGCCATTATTTTCAAAAAAATAATCCTGTTCAGCTCGTTACAGATGAAGTGTTAGCGCAGCCTATCGACATGCTGTATTATGTTTCTGTCTTAATGTTGCAAGTCTGGCATTGATCAGGTCTCAATGAAGCTTGTAAAACTAAACTAAAAAAATGTTAAACACAATTACAAATACATATGAATATGGAGTCAGCATGCAACCATGGTTTGGGTAAGTTTTCGCTTAATATCATGATTTGAAAACTGGAGTTTATATTTATTCATAGCATCTTTTTTTGGTATTAACCTTTGATTGACAACCTGAAACATTTGGTCAAAATTCTAAATCAGACGAATTCTAAGGGGGTAAATATGGTATGTATGATTTTATATTGAGCATCAATATAACCCTCCACAATCCACTGGGAGAATCTGATTGTGTAACATTCCACTAATCCACGGAGAAACTTAGGCTGCAACTCCCACGGCTCAGGTCTGTCTTTGTTATTTATAGCCGGTCTATCTTCTCCTGGGACACTTTGCTACGTCATAAACTAAACTGCTACGTCACCATAAAAAAATCAGTCCCGACTTCTCCTATTCACAGACAAACTATTCCAGGAAAAAAACCTGATATTTGTTCTCTTTTGTAGTAAACAAAAACACAAGAAACGGACATTCATTAAAGGTTGATAAAATAAAACGCTGTTCATTTTCCTTTTAAATAAATAAGTAAAAGAAAGAAAGAAAGAAAGAAAGAAAGAAAGGAAGAAAGAAAGAAAGAAAGAAAGAAAGGAAGAAGCTGAATAAATCAGTGAAAAATGAGAAACCGTGAGTTAATAGCTGAAAGCAGCAAGACGGACCAGAGACATCCACAACGTTCTTCTAATCCCTAAAACATTTCATACTTTAAGACCAACCTCGGAGTGTGTGTTCAGCCTACCTCTGCTGAGTCTTCTGACAAGTCGAACTTTTTATTTCCCAGGACAGCCCAGCTTCCAGCCGCTCCGCTCCCCTCCGGCCGCTGACCTGGGATCTTTACGTCGGCCGCTGAAAATCCACATTTCGGTACAACGAAGAGCAAAAAACAGGGTGAAAATATGCACAGCATGCAAAGGAACCGCCTGGCCCGCAACTATCGTTCTTAAGAGGACAGGATGAAGGGACAGCATGAGGGCGGGGTGGGGAGGGAGCTAATTGGATTTAGCGATTCAGCACCGAGAACAGCTCCAGATCAACAGCTTGTTTCAGCTGAACTCCAGCTCGCCTACTTTACTTTCCTCTGCAACAACTCACACTATGGAAACACAAGAAGCTCGATGTCATCATGTATTAAAGCTACTTTTACACAAAGACCAGCTGCAAACACAAATATACTTCTCAATATAAATGAGAAAAAAACTTCCATTTAACTTTTAGTCTGTAATTTGGTTCGAAAAGTGAAACATGCATGCCACAGATTGATCTGTTTGTTTATAATTCTATATCATTTCATCTGTTTTGTTTGAATTCTGCACTGTCTAAAACATCAGGTCGCTCAGACCAAGCCAGGTTTTGGTTCTGGTTCTTCCTGTTAAATGGAAGTTTTTCCTCTTTATCGTCACGCATCTCAGTATGAGAGAAAGCTGTAAAGTCAACAACACAACGCAAACGATTGTCTGCTGCTTCTGTGTTCGTCCAGGAGTGAATTCTGCAAATCAACGACTCGATGCAATCTGTTGAGTTTTTCTAGATAGAAATGTTTTAAAAATATTTTAGTAATAAACTTAGCGCTTAATGTACTGAAGTAGGATTGATTGGAATGTGCTGAAGTGTCTTGAGATGACGTTTGTTGTGAAATAGCGCAACAGTGATTAATTTCTCTCAGGGCTGCACAGTGACGCAGTTGCTTTGAAACATGAGTTTGAATCCCAGTCAGGTGTCTCTCTGCATGATGACACATGACTTTTGCATGCTTTGCATGCAGCAGTCATTGGGAGTCACCCAATGTCTGCTGCAGATAAACACCAGTTTCATTTCTTTCCGAGTTTTGCACTAGCACCGCCACACCAGCAGGGGGCACACATGTTCGGGATAGAGAGCTTTATTAGAGTAAGTAGAGTTCCATGTGTAGGAGAGCGATCGTTCAGTTAGTGGTCGTATGCATAGACATAATATAAGCATAGACGCCTCATGGACCGCTCCGGCGCAGGAAATACG